AACCTACCGTCCTATCTCATACATACGACTATCAACTGTTAGTATATAACCTACCCTCCCGTCTCATACATACGACTATCAGCGGTCAGTATACAACCTACCGTCCTATCTAATTCATACGACTATCAAATGTTAATATACAACCTACCGTCCTATCTCATACATACGACTATCAACTGTTAGTATATATCCTACCCTCCTGTCTCATACATACGACTATCAGCGGTTAGTATACAACCTACCGTCCTATCTCATACATACGACTATCAGCTGTTAGTATATAACCTACCGTCCCATCTCATTTATACGACTATCAGCTGTTAGTATATAACCTACCGTCCCATCTCATTTATACGACTATCAGCTGTTAGTATATAACCTACCGTCCTATCTCATACATATGACTATCGACTGTTAGTATATAACCTACCGTCCTATCTCATACATACGACTATCAGCTGTTAGTATATAACCTACCGTCCTTTCTCATACATACGACTATCAACTGTTAGTATATACCCTTCCCTCCTGTCTCATACATACGACTATCAGCGGTTAGTATACAACCTACCGTCCTATCTAATACATACGACTATCAACTGTTAGTATATAACCGACCGTCCTATCTCATACATACGACTATCAGCTGTTAGTATATAACCTACCGTCCCATCTCATTTATACGACTATCAGCTGTTAGTATATAACCTACCGTCCTTTCTCATACATACGACTATCAACTGTTAGTATATTACCTACCCTCCTTTCTCATACATACGACTAGCAGCGGTTAGTATACAACCTACCGTCCTATCTCATACATACGACTATCAACTTTTAGTATATAACCTACCGTCCTATCTCATACATACGACTATCAACTGTTACTATATAACCTACCCTCCTGTCTCATACATACGACTATCAGCTGTTAGTATATAACCTACCGTCCCATCTCATTTATACGACTATCAGCTGTTAGTATATAACCTACCGTCCTTTCTCATACATACGACTATCAACTGTTAGTATATAACCGACCGTCCTATCTCATACATACGACTATCAGCTGTTAGTATATAACCTACCGTCCCATCTCATTTATACGACTATCAGCTGTTAGTATATAACCTACCGTCCTATCTACTACATATGACTATCAACTGTTAGTATATAACCTACCGTCCTATCTCATACATACGACTATCAGCTGTTAGTACTTAACCTACCGTCGTATCTCATACATAGGACTATCAGCGGTTACTAACTAATTATACCAAATAGATCAAGGGTAGTTATCCAATAGCTATCCAAGAAACTAGCATGTGATGTATTAACAGCTGTTAGTATATAACCTACCGTCCTATATCATACATACGACTATCGCCTATATATAACGGCCACTTTATATTTTTTATGATATGTATTGATACAACACATATCTTATTTTGTAAATACTGAAATATGTCACATTAAAATATTGCAAACTGAAAAGGAAAAAGAAAGACCTCGGTTCGAATATACAGTGTATCGATAGTACGAAGGCTTGTGGGAGTCAATTTGAAAGGAAAACGCGTTAACTATCTCATAAAAATCTTTTTTAGTTAATTAAGCGGATTACGACCCAGGTGCCTGTCATATCCGGCCACTGGTTTGTTTTAATAATCACGAGCTTTCAGCAATTGATAAACACTCTTTATTACAAAATTATGCAGATAACGTGGAGATAGGTATTTAATGTTGCTACGAACATTATTAGCTCACCTGGTCCAAAGGACCAAGGTGAGCTTATGCCATACCGTGGCGTCCGTCGTCCGTCGTCCGTCCGTCCGTCAACAATTTCTTTAAACGACTTCTTCTTCTTCTTAACCACTGATTGGAATTTAACTAAATGTGACTGGAAGCATCCCTAGGTGGTGGGAATTCAAAATTGTACAAATGGTGGGGCTGACCCCCAGGGGGCTGAGGGGCTTGGCAAAAAGGGGGCAATTTGGCTAAACTGCTTTAAGCGACTTCTTCTCTGGAACTAAGTGATGGATATCAACCATATTAGACTGGAAGCATCCCTAGGTTGTGGAGATTCAAAATTGTACAAATGGATGGGCTGACCCCCCAGGGGGCTGAGGGGCGGGGCCAAAAAGGGGTAATTTGGCTATATTTCTACAAACAACTTCTTCTGTAGAACTATGCACTGGATATCGATCATATTTAATCAAAAGCATTCATGGGATGCAGGGATTCAAAATTGTACAAATGATGGGGCTGACCTCCCAGGGGGCTGAGGGGCGGGACCAAAAAGAGTTATTTGGCTATATTGCTTTAAGCGACTTCTTCTCTGGAATTAAGTGATGGATATCAACCATATTAGACTGGAAGCATCCCTAGGTGGTGGAGATTCAAAATTGTACAAATGGTTGGGCTGACCCCCAGGGGGCTGAGGGGCGATGCCAAAATGGGGTAATTTGGCTATATTTCTACAAACGACTTCTTCTGTAGAACTATGCACTGGATATCGATCATAATTAATCAAAAGCATTCATGGGATGCAGGGATTCAAAATTGTACAAATGGTGGGGCTGACCCCCCAGGGGGCTGAGGGGCGGGGCCAAAAAGGGTTATTTGGCGATATTTCTTTAAGCGACTTCTTCTCTGAAACTAAGTAATGGATATCAACCATATTAGACTGGAAGCAACCTTAGGTAGTGGGGATTCAAAATTGTACAAATGTTGGGGCTGACCCCATAGGGCTGAGGGCGGGACCAAAAGGGGGCAATTTGGCTAGATTGCTATAAACGACTACCTCTGTAGAACTTTGCACTGGGTATCGATCATATTTGGTCGGAAGCATTCATAGGAGGCAGGGATTCAAAATTGTACAAATGGTGGGGCTGACCCCCCAGGCTAAGGGGTGGAGCCAAAACAAGTTTATTGCCTGGAAATGGTTGAGATGGTTGAGATCCCCACCCTATAACCACATGAACAATTGTTGAATATAAAGAGAAGAATGCACATATGCTTCCAGGATGGCCTAGGGGACTGCCCCACCATTGGAGACTTAACCCCTGGGTCATAACTTCGAAATGGTTAAGATCCCCACCCCAAAACTATATATACAATTGTTTGAAACGGTTGAGAACCCCACCCCAAAACTATATATATAAATGCTGGGCAAAAAGAGACAAATGCAGTCATGATATTAGAATTGATCCTGGGGTCTGGCCACAACCATAGGAACCTAGTTTCTGAGTCACAGATTGAAAACAGTTGAGATCCCCACCCCATAACCATACATAAAATTGCTGGGCATGAAAAATTGAATACAGATATATATGCTACAAGGATTGGCCTTGGGGTCTGGCATATTCCCATGGATTTCATTTGGAGAATATTCTGCCATGATTGCTTAGATATCCAGGTGAGCGATACAGGCCCTATGGGCCTCTTGTATGTAATTGGTATGCTTAAATTGTATCAAAGCACATCACTTCTACATATCCTTACATACTTCCTTCAGTTTCATTTTGAACTCACAATGTTATCATTGCAGTGTGTATGAGTGTTACTTGTGGTTGGAATGTATCCAAGTGTCGTAAAGCTTGGTGCGGGAAAGACTGTGTAAATATTTATTTTGAATGGATGTAGGTATACTTATCTAACTTGATGAGTTGAAATTTGTATAAAATGTCTGTTTGTAACTTGATGTGGGAAAGACTGTTGATCAATGCCCCGTGTGCCTTGATGTGGGAAAGACTGTTGATCAATGCCCCGTGTGACTTGATGTAGGAAAGACCGTTGATCAATGCCCCGTGTGACTTGACTTGCTGTGATAAAGGCTGTGGATCAATACCCCGTGTGACTTGATGTGGGAAAGACTGTTGATCAATGTCCCGGGTGACTTGATGTGGGAAAGACTGTTGATCAATGCCCCATGTGACTTGATGTGGTAAAGACTGTTGATCAATGCCCCGTGTGACTTGATGTGGGAAAGGCTATGGATCAATACCCCGTGTGACTTGATGTCGGAAAGACTGTTGATCAATGCCCCATGTGACTTGATGTCGGAAAGACTGTTGATCAATGCCTCTTGTGACTTGATGTGGGAAAGGCTGTGGATTGTGTTCTTGTGGACTTGATATGTGTACATATTTCTAATATAATGAGATGTGGGAAGGATTGCGGGGCAATGCCCCATGTGACCTGATTTCGGGAGGACTCTTGCTGTGTCTCCCATGTAACATTGTAATAGTCATGTAGAATATTTTGTTTCAAATTCTTTTTCATCTTTGCAGATTTCGAGATATTTCGTTCAGTCCTAATGTGTCCGGCGGGTGTTCAGCAGATGCCTGTGAGCGGATACTGTCTGATGCTGGTATCAATGGCTACGCTATAGCAAAGGGGAAGGTGAGCTTATCATACCATGATAACAGTGTCCACACACAATAGGCTACTTAACGGTCATTTTAAGTGTCATCTCACTGAAATGTCATACCCGGGGTATGTTTGCATGCATATGTCACTCCACCCGGTCACTGAAATGTCATACCCGGGGTAGCTTTGCATGTCACTCCACCCGGTCACTGAAATGTCATACCCGGGGTAGGTTTGCTTTCACTCCACCAGGTCACTAAATTGTCATACCCACGGTAGGTTTGCATGTCACTCCACCCGGTCACTGAAATGTCATACCCCGGGAAGGTTTGCTTTCACTCCACCAGGTCACTGAATTGTCATACCCACGGTAGGTTTGCTGTCACTCCACCCGGTCACTGAAATGTCATACCCCGGGTAGGTTTGCATATCACTCCACCCGGTCACTGAAATGTCATACCCCGGGAAGGTTTGCTTTCACTCCACCCGGTCACTGAAATGCCATTCCCGGGGTAGGTTTGCTTTCCCTCCACCAGGTCACTGAATTGTCATACCCGCGGTAGGTTTGCTGTCACTCCACCCGGTCACTGAAATGTCATACCCACGGTAGCTTTCACTCCACCAGATCACTGAAATGTCATGCCCCGGGTAGGTTTGCTTTCACTCCACCCGGTCACTGAAATGTCATACCCCGGGTAGGTTTGCTTTCACTCCACCAGATCACTGAAATGTCATACCCCGGGTAGGTTTGCTTTCACTCCACCCGTTCACTGGAATGTCATACCCGGGGTAGGTTTGCTTTCACTCCACCAGGTCACTGAAATGTCATACCCCGGGTAGGTTTGCTTTCACTCCACCCGGTCACTGAAATGTCATACCCGGGGTAGGTTTGCATGTCACTCCACCCTGTCACTGAAATGTCATACCCCGGTTAGATTTGCATGTCACTCTACCCGATCACTGAAATGTCATACCCGGGGTAGGTTTGCATGTCATTCCACCCGGTCACTGAAATGTCATCCCCGGGGTAGCTTTGCATGTCACTCCACCCGGTCACTGAAATGTCATTCCCGGGGTCATACCCCGGGTAGGTTTGCATGTCACTCCACCCGGTCACTGACATGTCAAAACCGGGGTAGGTTTGCTTTCACTCCACCAGGTCACTGAAATGCCATACCCCGGGTAGGTTTGCATGTCACTCCACCCGGTCACTGAAATGTCAAACCCGGGGTAGGTTTGCTTTCACTCCACCAGGTCACTGAAATGCCATACCCCGGGTAGGTTTGCATGTCACTCCACCCGATCACTGAAATATCATACCCACGGTAGGTTTGCATGTCACTCCACCATGTCACTGAAATGTCATACCTGGGGTAGGTTTGTTTTCACTCCACCCGGTCACTGAAATATCATACCCAGGGTAGGTTTGCTTTCAGTGCACCCGGTCACTGAAATGTCATTCCCGGGGTCATACCCCGGGTAGGTTTGCATGTCATTCCACCCGGTCACTGAAATGTCATACCCAGGGTAGGTTTGCTTTCACTGCACCCGGTCACTGAAATGTCATACCCCGTGTAGGTTTGCATGTCACTCCACCCGGTCACTGAAATGTCATACCCACGGTAGGTTTGCATGTCACTCCACCCGGTCACTGAAATGCCATACCCACGGTAGGTTTGCATGTCACTCCACCCGGTCACTGAAATGCCATACCCACGGTAGGTTTGCATGTCACTCCACCCGGTCACTGAAATGCCATACCCACGGTAGGTTTGCATGTCACTCCACCCGGTCACTGAAATGCCATACCCACGGTAGGTTTGCATGTCACTCCACCCGGTCACTGAAATGTCATTCCCGGGGTAGGTTTGCTTTCACTCCACCAGGTCACTGAAATGTCATACCCCGGGTAGGTTTGCATATCACTCCACCCGGTCACTGAAATGTCATACCCGGGGCAGGGTTGCATGTCACTCCACCCGGTCACTGAAATGTCATCCCCAGGGTAGGTTTGCTTTCACTGCACCCGGTCACTGAAATGTCATACCCCGTGTAGGTTTGCATGTCACTCCCCCCGGTCACTGAAATGTCATACCCGGGGTACGTTTGCATGTCAATCAACCCGGTCACTGAAATGTCATACCCGGGGTAGCTTTGCATGTCATTCCACCCGGTCACTGAAATGTCACTCCACCCGGTCACTGAAATGTCATACCCACGGTAGGTTTGCATGTCACTCCACCCGGTCACTGAAATGCCATACCCACGGTAGGTTTGCATGTCACTCCACCCGGTCACTGAAATGTCATCCCCCGGGTAGGTTTGCATGTCACTCCACCCGGTCACTGAAATGTCATCCCCAGGGTAGGTTTGCTTTCACTGCACCCGGTCACTGAAATGTCATCCCCCGTGTAGGTTTGCATGTCACTCCACCCGGTCACTGAAATGTCATTCCCGGGGTAGGTTTGCTTTCACTTCACCCGGTCACTGAAATGTCATACCCAGGGTAGGTCTGCTTTCACTCCACCCGGTCACTGAAATGTCATTCCCGGGGTAGGTTTCTGCACCCGGTCACTGAAATGTCATACCCCGTGTAGGTTTGCATGTCACTCCACCCGGTCACTGAAATGTCATACCAACGGTAGGTTTGCATGTCACTCCACCATGTCACTGAAATGTCATACCCGGGGTAGGTTTGCATGTCACTCCACCCGGTCACTGAAATGTCATACCCGGGGTACGTTTGCATGTCAATCCACCCGGTCACTGAAATGTCATACCCGGGGTAGCTTTGCATGTCATTCCACCCGGTCACTGAAATTGCATACCCAGGGTAGGTCTGCTTTCACTCCACCCGGTCACTGAAATGTCATTCCCGGGGTAGGTTTGCTTTCACTCCACCCGGTCACTGAAATGTCATACCCACGGTAGGTTTGCATGTCACTCCACCCGGTCACTGAAATTTTATACCCGGGGTAGGTTTGCTTTCACTCCACAAGGTCACTGAAATGTCATACCCCTGGTAGGTTTGCATGTCACTCTACCCGGTCGCTGAAATGTCATACCAACGGTAGGTTTGCATGTCACTCCACCATGTCAATGAAATGTCATACCCGGGGTAGGTTTGCATGTCACTCAACCCGGTCACTGAATTGTCATACCTACGGTAGGTTTGTATGTCACTCCACCCGGTCACTGAAATGTCATAGAAATGTCATACCCACGGTAGGTTTGCATGTCTCTCCACCCGGTCACTGAAATGTCATACCCCGGATAGATTTGGATGTCACTCCACCCGGTCACTGAAATGTCATAGAAATGTCATACCCACGGTAGGTTTGCATGTCACTCCCCCCGGTCACTGAAATTTTATTCCCGGGGTAGGTTTGCTTTCACTCCACAAGGTCACTGAAATGTCATACCCCTGGTAGGTTTGCATGTAACTCCACCCGGTCACTGAAATGTCATACCCACGGAAGGTTTGCATGTAACTCCACCCGGTCACTGAAATGTCATACCCGGGGTAGATTTGCATGTCACTCAACTCGGTCACTGAAATGTCATACCCGGGGGAGGTTTGCATGTCACTCCACCCGGTCACTGAAATTTCATACCCCGGGTAGATTTGCATGTCACTCAACTCGGTCACTGAAATGTCATACCCGGGGTAGGTTTGTATGTCACTCCGGTAGGTTTGCTTTCACTCCACCCGGTCACAGAAATGTCATTCCCGGGGTAGGTTTGCTTTCACTCCACCAGGTCACTGAATTGTCATACCCACGGTAGGTTTGTATGTCACTCCACCCGGTCACTGAAATGTCAGACCCGGTGTAGGTTTGCTTTCACGCCACCAGGTCACTGAAATGTCATATCCGGGTAGGTTTGCATATCACTCCACCCGGTCACTGAAATGTCATAGAAATGTCATACCCACGGTAGGTTTGCATGTCTCTCCACCCGGTCACTGAAATGTCATACCCCGGGTAGATTTGCATGTCACTCCACCCGGTCACTGAAATGTCAAACCCGGGGTAGGTTTGCTTTCACTCCACCCGGTCACAGAAATGTCATTCCCGGGGTAGGTTTGCTTTCACTCCACAAGGTCTCTGAAATGTCATACCCCTGGTAGGTTTGCATGTAACTCCACCCGGTCACTGAAATGTCATACCCCGGGTAGATTTGCATGTCACTCCACCCGGTCACTGAAATGTTATACCCGGGGTAGGTTTGCTTTCACTCCGGGTCGGTTTGCTTTCACTCCACCAGGTCACTGAATTGTCATACCCACGGTAGGTTTGTATGTCACTCCACCCGGTCACTGAAATGTCATACCCCGGGTAGCTTTGCATGTCACTCCACCCGGTCACTGAAATGTTATACCCGGGGTAGGTTTGCTTTCACTCCACAAGGTCTCTGAAATGTCATACCCCTGGTAGGTTTGCGTCACTCCACCCGGTCACTGAAATGTCATCCCCCGGGTAGATTTGCATGTCACTCAACTCGGTCACTGAAATGTCATACCCGGGGGAGGGTTGCATGTCACTCCACCCGGTCACTGAAATTTTATACCCGGGGTAGGTTTGCTTTCACTCCACAAGGTCTCTGAAATGTCATACCCCTGGTAGGTTTGCGTCACTCCACCCGGTCACTGAAATGTCATCCCCGGGGTAGGGTTTGTATGTCACTCCACCCGGTCACTGAAATGTCAGACCCGGTGTAGGTTTGCTTTCACGCCACCAGGTCACTGAAATGTCATATCCGGGTAGGTTTGCATATCACTCCACCCGGTCACTGAAATGTCATATCCGGGGTAGGTTTGCATGTCACTACACCATGTCACTCCACCATGTCACTGAAATGTCATACCTGGGGTAGGTTTGCTTTTACTCCACCAGGTCACTGAAATGTCATACCCGGGGTAGGTTTGTATGTCACTCCGGTAGGTTTGCTTTCACTCCACCCGGTCACAGAAATGTCATTCCCGGGGTAGGTTTGCTTTCACTCCACCCGGTCACTGAAATGTCTTACCCACGGTAGGTTTGCATGTCACTCCACCCGGTCACTGAAATTTCATACCCCGGGTAGGTCACTCCACCCGGTCACTGAAATTTTATACCCGGGGTAGGTTTGCTTTCACTCCGGGTCGGTTTGCTTTCACTCCACCAGGTCACTGAAATGTCATATCCGGGTAGGTTTGCATATCACTCCACCCGGTCACTGAAATGTCATAGAAATGTCATACCCACGGTAGGTTTGCATGTCACTCCCCCCGGTCACTGAAATGTCATACCCCGGGTAGATTTGCATGTCACTCCACCCGGTCACTGAAATTTCATACCCCGGGTAGATTTGCATGTCACTCCACCCGGTCACTGAAATGTTATACCCGGGGTAGGTTTGCTTTCACTCCACAAGGTCACTGAAATGTCATACCCCTGGTAGGTTTGCATGTCACTCTACCCGGTCACTGAAATGTCATACCAACGGTAGGTTTGCATGTCACTCCACCATGTCACTGAAATGTCATACCCGGGATAGGTTTGCATGTCACTCAACCAGGTCACTGAATTGTCATACCTACGGTAGGTTTGTATGTCACTCCACCCGGTCACTGAAATGTCATCCCCCGGGTAGATTTGCATGTCACTCAACTCGGTCACTGAAATGTCATACCCGGGGGAGGTTTGCATGTCACTCCACCCGGTCACTGAAATGTTATACCCGGGGTAGGTTTGCTTTCACTCCACAAGGTCACTGAAATGTCATACCCCTGGTAGGTTTGCATGTCACTCCCCCCGGTCACTGAAATGTCATACCCCGGGTAGATTTGCATGTCACTCAACTCGGTCACTGAAATGTCATACCCGGGGTAGGTTTGCTTTCACTCCACCAGGTCACTGAAATGTCATACCCGGGGGAGGTTTGCATGTCACTCCACCCGGTCACTGAAATGTCATACCCGGGGTAGGTTTGCTTTCACTTCACCAGGTCACTAAAATGTCATACCCCGGGTAGATTTGCATGTCACTCCATCCGGTCACTGAAATGTCATACCCGGGGTAGGTTGGCTTTCACTCCACCAGATCACTGAAATGTCATACCCGGGGTAGGTTTGCTTTCACTCCACCAGGTCCCTGAAATGTCATACCCGGGGTGGGGTTTGTATGTCACTCCACCATGTCACTGAAATGTCATTCCTGGGGTAAGTTGACTTTCACTCCTCCAGATCACTGAAATGTCATATCCGGGGTATTGATGGTAGTCAAGTAAAATCACCCGTTTTAATGGTGGGATTTGGTAGGTTTGTATGTCACTCCACCAGGTCACTGAAATGTCATACCCGGGGTAGGGTTTGTATGTCACTCCACCCGGTCACTGAAATGTCATAACCTGGGTAGGTTTGCATGTCACTCCACCATGTCACTGAAATGTCATACCTGGGGTAAGTTGACTTTCACTCCACCAGATCACTGAAATGTCATATCCGGGGTAGGTTTGCATGTCACTCCACCATGTCACTCCACCATGTCACTGAAATGTCATACCTGGGGTAGGTTTGCTTTTACTCCACCAGGTCACTGAAATGTCATAACCTGGTTAGATTTGCATGTCACTCCACTATGTCACTGAAATGTCATACCTGGGGTAGGTTTGCTTTTACTCCATCCGGTCACTGAAATGTCTAAGACAATTTTTAGACAATGTCCTATGTTCTATTTATTTGAAGATGTATTCTGATTTCTTTCTTTAAGCATGTGTTAATTTTTTTCAGGTGCTTCTTCGGCACTGGCATGGACCGGTTCTCCAGGAAATTGCGACAAACAAGAAACAGATGATTGCGTCTGCGGATGCTCCGTATGGTATGGATAACGGCATCGTGGACCTTGACGATACGACACCAGTGTCGACTAGTAACGCACGGAGACCGGCTTTAGAAGCAATTGTAGACATCCGGTCGCCTACTTTGTCCTCCAAACATGGAACCATGTCATCGTCAACGACGTCACACACTCGAGTAGCGGAATGGATGCAACAGCAAGGTCACGTGACTTCAGATGTATCTATACCCGTACCTGTCTACAACTTCACGCCGCCACCATTGTTTTCAAAGGTAAAACATACTTGTCGATGTAAAACAGTTTAGATACAAACGTACCACTTTTTTGTCGTTATATTTCAGTAGAAAGAATTCTTTTCCAAAATGTACATTACATGTAGGTACAAGTACATTTGTAGCAGTGTTGTTTAAGTTATTGAAGAAATGAAAGGCAATTGGGTTCATGATCAGTTTTGTTGCAGACACTCCATCCTTTCACAAAATCACTCACCGTAAGTCTGTATTGTGATTTTTTCAAGCTATTAGGCTCAGGGCTGAATATTTGATGAACCGTATACATTAATTATAGTGAAGATCAATCTTCAACTAAAACCTTGCGAGTACGACATTGTTAGGACACACTTTGCTTCTTTCCTTAAATGCAAAATGCATATACAATTGGAATGCAAACAGAAAAGGGTCCGGAAACAAGTTACAAAACTTTACATAAATTCGTTTCCTTATGGTGACATAAACGTTGATGTTGTTAGAAGAGTTCAGTAGAAAAGCAGCATGGCAGCCGTTCACATTTATGTCGGTCATTTTTTTCCCAAGATGCTGCGGAGTTTTTCTAAATCATTCGATGTGATTATTTCACGTGGTAAAATGACCCGTATTGCTGGTAAGATTTCACGTAATAAAATCACCCGTATTAATGGTAAGATTTCACGATGTAAAATCACCCGTATTGGTGGTAAGATTTCATTATTGAAAGTAAAATCATCCGTATTGATGGTAATATTTTGTGATTAAGAGAAAATCAACCTTATTTATGGTAATATTTCAATTTGTAAAATCAGCCGTATTGATGGTAAGATTTCATGTTGTAAAATCACCTTTATTGATGGTAATATTTCACGATGTAAAATCACCCGTATTGATGGTAAGATTTCATGAGTGAGAGTAAAATTACCCGTATTGATGGTAATATTTCATGATTGAGAGTAAAATCATCCGTATTGATGGTAGGATTTCACATTATAAAATTATACGTATTGATGGTAATATTTCATGATTGAGATTAAAATCATCCGTATTGATGGTAAGATTTCAAGTTGTAATATCACCCGTATTGATGGTAAGATTTCACGTTGTAAAATCACCCGTATATATTGTAGGTGGTAAGTTTTCACGTATTAAAATAACCCGTATTGATGGAAAGATTTTACATAGTAATACCATCCGTATTGATGGTAAGATTTCACGTTGTAAAATCACCCGTATTAATAGTAAGATTTCACGTTGGGAAATCAACAGTATTGATGGTAAGATTTCACATCGTAAAATCAACCGTTCTGATGGTAAGATCTCATGTTGCAAAATCAACCGTATTGATGGTAAGTTTTTACTTATTAAAATCGCCCGTATTGATGGTAAGATTTCATGTTTGAGAGTAAAATCACCCGTTTTAATGGTGGGATTTCACGTTGTAAAATCACCCGTATTGATGGTAAGTTTTCACTTATTAAAATCGCCCGTATTGATGGTACGATTTCATGATTGAGAGTAAAGTCACCCGTATTGATGGTAAGATTTCACGTAATAAAATCACCCGAATCGATGGTAAGATTTCAAGATTGAGATTAAAATCATCCGTATTGATGGTAAGTTTTCACGTAATAAAATCACCCGTATGAATGGTAAGATTTCACGTTGTAAAATCACCCGTATTAATGGTAAAGTTTCACGTTGTAAAATCACCCGTATTGATGGTAAAATTTCACGTTGTAAAATCACCCGTATTAAAAGTAAGAATTCACGTTTTAAAATCAACAGTATTGATGGTAAGATTTCATGAGTGAGAGTAAAATTACCCGTATTGATGGTAATATTTTATGATTGAGAGTAAAATCATCCGTATTAATGGTAGGATTTCACATTGTAAAATTATCCGTATTGATGGTAATATTTCATGATTGAGAGTAAAATCATCCGTATTGATGGTAAGATTTCAGGTTGTAAAATCACCCGTATTGATGGTAAGATTTTTCACGTTGTAAAATCACCCGTATATATTGTAGGTGGTAAGTTCTCACGTATTAAAATTACCCGTATTGATGGTAAGATTTTACATAGTAATACCAACCGTATTGATAGTAAGATTTCACGTTGTAAAATCACCCGTATTAATAGTAAGATTTCACGTTGTGAAATTAACAGTATTGATGGTAAGATTTCACATCGTAAATTCAACCGTATTGATGGTAAGTTTTCACTTATTAAAATCGCCCGTATTGATGGTAAGATTTCATGTTTGAGAGTAAAATCACCCGTTTTAATGGTGAGATTTCACGTTGTAAAATCACCCGTATTGATGGTAAGTTTTCACTTATTAAAATCGCCCGTATTGATGGTAAGATTTCATGTTTGAGAGTAAAATCACCCGTTTTAATGGTGAGATTTCACGTTGTAAAATCACCCGTATTGATGGTAAGTTTTCACTTATTAAAATCGCCCGTATTGATGGTAAGATTTCATGATTGAGAGTAAAATCACCCGTATTGATGGTAAGGTTTCACGTAATAAAATGACTCGAATCGATGGTAAGATTTCATGATTGAGATTAAAATCATCCGTATTGTTGGTAAGTTTTCACGTAATAAAATCAACCGCATGAATGGTAAGATTTCACGTTGTAAAACAACCCGTATTGATGGTAAGATTTCACGTTGTACAATCAACCGTATTGATGGTAATATTTCATGATTGAGAGTAAAATCACCCGTATCGATGGTAATATTTCACGTTGTAAAATCACCCGTATTAATAGTAAGATTTCACGTTATGAAATTAACAGTATTGATGGTAAGATTTCACATCGTAAAATCAACCGTATTGATGGTAAGTTTTCACTTATTAAAATCGCCCGTATTGATGGTAAGATTTCATGTTTGAGAGTAAAATCACCCGTATTAATGGTAAGATTTCACGTTGTAAAATCACCCGTATTGATGGTAAGTTTTCACTTATTAAAATCGCCCGTATTGATGGTAAGATTTCATGATTGAGAGTAAAATCACCCGTATTGATGGTAAGGTTTCACGTAATAAAATGACTCGAATCGATGGTAAGATTTCATGATTGAGATTAAAATCATCCGTATTGTTGGTAAGTTTTCACGTAATAAAATCAACCGCATGAATGGTAAGATTTCACGTTGTAAAACAACCCGTATTGATGGTAAGATTTCACGTTGTACAATCAACCGTATTGATGGTAATATTTCATGATTGAGAGTAAAATCACCCGTATCGATGGTAATATTTCACGTTGTAAAATCACCCGTTTTGATAGTAAGTTTTTACGTTTAAAATCACCCGTATATATTGTAGGTGGTAAGTTTTCACGTTTTTAAATTACCCGTATTGATGGTAAGATTTCACATAGTAATATCATCCGTATTGATTGTAAGATTTCATGATTGAGAGTAAAATCACCCGTATTGATGGTAATATTTCATGATTGAAAGTAAAATCATCCGTATTGAAGGAAAGATTTCACGTTGTAAAATCAAATGTATTGATGGTAATATTTCACGTTGTAAAACCACCCGTATCGATGGTAAGATTTCACGTTGTAAAATCAACCGCATTGATGGTAAGATTACATGATTGAGAGTAAAAACACCCGTATTGATGGTAATATTTCATGATTGAGAGTAAAATCACCCGTATTGATGGTAATATTTCATGATTGAGAGTAAAATCATCCGTATTGAAGGTAAGATTTCACATTGTAAATTAACTGTATTGATGGTTATATTTCACGTTGTAAAACCACCCGTATTGAAGGTAAGATTTCACGTTGTATAATCACCCGTATTGATGGTAATACTTCATGATTGAGAGTAAAAATTTCCGTATTGATGGTACGATTTCACATTGTAAAATCACCCGTTTTAATGGTAAGTTTTCAGGTTTAAAATGACCCGTTGTTATGGTAAGTTTTAACGTTTTTAAATTACCCAAATTGATAGTAAGATTGTACATAGTAATATCACCCGTATTGATTGTAAGATTTCACGATTGAGAGTAAAATCACCCGTTTTGATGGTAATATTTCATGATTGAGAGTTAAATCATTCGTATTGATGGTAAGAGTTAACATAGTAATATTACCCGTATTGATGGTAAGATTTCACGTTGTAAAATCACCCGTATAACATGTTATAGTAAGATTTCACGTTGTGAAATCAATCGTATTGATGGTAACATTTCACATTGTAAAATCAACCGTATTGGTGGTAACATTTCATGATTGAGAATAAAATCACCCGTATTGATGATAATATTTAATGATTGAGAGTAAAATCATCAGATTGATGGTAGGATTTTACGTTGTAAAATCACCCGTATTGATGGTAAGATTTCACGTAATAAAATCACCCGTATTGATGGTAAGATTTCACTTTTTAAAATCACCCGTATTGGTGGTAAGATTTCATGATTGAGAGTAAAATCACCCGTATTGATGGTAATTTTTCATGATTGAGATTAAAATCACCCGTATTGATGGTAATTTTTCATGATTGAGAGTAAAATAATCCATATTTATCATAAGATTTCACGATGTAAAATCAACCGTATTGATGGTAAGATTTCACGTTGTAAAAAAACCCGTATTAATGGTAAGATTTCACGTTGTAAAATCACCCGTATTAATGGTATGATTTCACGTTGTAAAATCAACCGTATTGATGGTAAGATTTCATGTTGTAAAACCACCCGTATTAATGGTAAGATTTCACGTTGTAAAATCAACCGTATTGATGGTAAGATTTCATGGTTGAGAGTAAAATCACCAGTATTGATGGTAATTTTTCATGATTGAGATTAAAATCACCCGTATTGATGGTAATTTTTTTTATGATTGAGAGTAAAATTATCCATATTTATCGTAAGATTTCACGATGTAAAATCACCCGTATTGATGGTAAGATTTCACGTTGTAAAATAACCCGTATTAATGGTAAGATTTCACGTTGTAAAATCACCCGTATTGATGGCATGATTTCACGTTGTAAAATCAACCGTATTGATGGTAAGATTTCATGTTGTAAAACCACCCGTATTAATGGTAAGATTTCACGTTGTAAAATCAACCGTATTGTTGGTAAGATTTCATGATTGAGAGTAAAATCAACCGTTATGATGGTAAGATTTCACGTTATTATGTAAGCTATCACGTGATTGGGTTAAAGATCTCGCGTAAAGATTGTAGGATCTCACAATGTTTTATCTGAAGTTTTTGTTTATGGTTTTTTTCCCCCAGAAAAATAGTCATGTCCGTATAAAAATGCCGGGGAAGGAAGACTCGCTATTGGACATGTAAGTACTTCAACCCAAGTAACTCATTATTAGAATAGGGGGTATTAAGATATCTAGTTTTCTTGTTTGGACTTGTTATGTTGCTTCGATATTTCTCTTAGCAACCTCGTATTCCTTTTTCCTCAGTGTTTCTCTTGATAATCATTTTGAATTTTCTATATCGTTTCCTTTTTTCGCGTCACTCTCGGAAATCTTTCCCGTACCATTTATCAGTTTTCTATCATACATAAATCTCACAGGTCATTAAGAATATGTGTGCGTGTTTGTGTGTGTGTGTTGATTTAAATAATACGAAGACATCTAACGCCAGTATTGAACCATACTGTCGTTATTACACACACAGAGATACTCATAAGACCATAACAATAGTCAACAGGAATACAGGTCATATAACCATACTTGGCTAATCTGTTGTTGTACGATCCGGCTGAGTTGTTGTGAGCTATAAATGTATGACTCGGCTGAGTTGGTGTGATGTGTATATGTATGACTCGGTTAAGTTGTTGTGGTGAGCTATACATGTATGACTCGGTTGAGTTGTTGTGATGTGTATATGTATGACTCGGTTAAGTTGGTGCGGTGAGCTATATATGTATGACTCGGTTGAGTTGTTGCGATGTGTATATGTATGACTCGGTTAAGTTGTTGCGGTGAGCTATAAATGTATGACTCGGTTAAGTTGTTGCGGTGAGCTATACATGTATGACTCGGTTAAGTTGTTGCGGTGAGCTATACATGTATGACTCGGTTAAGTTGTTGCGGTGAGCTATATATGTATGACTCGGTTAAGTTGTTGCGGTGAGCTATACATGTATGACTCGGTTAAGTTGTTGCGGTGAGCTATATATGTATGACTCGGTTAAGTTGTTGCGGTGAGCTATACATGTATGACTCGGTTAAGTTGTTGCGGTGAGCTATATATGTATGACTCGGTTAAGTTGTTGCGGTGAGCTATACATGTATGACTCGGTTAAGTTGTTGCGGTGAGCTATATATGTATGACTCGGTTAAGTTGTTGCGGTGAGCTATACATGTATGACTCGGTTAAGTTGTTGCGGTGAGCTATATATGTATGACTCGGTTAAGTTGTTGCGGTGAGCTATACATGTATGACTCGGTTAAGTTGTTGCGGTGAGCTATATATGTATGACTCGGTTAAGTTGTTGCGGTGAGCTATACATGTATGACTCGGTTAAGTTGTTGCGGTGAGCTATATATGTATGACTCGGTTAAGTTGTTGCGGTGAGCTATACATGTATGACTCGGTTAAGTTGTTGTGGTGAGCTATACATGTATGACTCGGTTGAGTTGTTGTGATGTTCATATGTATGAATCGGCTGAGTTGTTGTGATGTGTATATGTATGACTCGGTTAAGTTGTTGTGGTGAGCTATACATGCATGACTCTGTTGAGTTGTTGTTGTGAAGTGTTCATGTGTGATTAAGTTGATTTGCTGTTGTGAAGTGTGCATGTGTGATTCAGTTGAGTTGTTGTTGTGACATATACATGTATGACTCGTGCTTATGTTCTGATGTATACATGTATGACTCGGCTGAGCTGTTGTGACGTATATATGTATGACTCGGCTGAGCTGTTGTGACGTATACATGTATGACTCGGCTGAGATGTTGTGACTTGTACATGTATGACCCGGCTGAGCTGTTCTGACTTGTACATGTTAGAGTTTGTATGAGGCGACTGAGTTGTTGTTGTGACGTGTGCATGTAATATAGGTGTTCCTCTTGTTATGTGATATTGTTTCTATTTGTAGTTGCTATATACAATTTGATTATTACTACCCAGAAGCCGCAATTGATTTAAAGTTCATATTTTACAGGCGACTGTGGGACAGATTCCAGATGATTCCGCGAGAACGTGTGTCCACCAGCGACACCTTTCGGCCATTCCTGCGAGCATTTAAGATTTTCTGTTATGTGTTGTTTTTCTGTGTGGTTTTGGGGTCTGCCGTCGTCAGTAAGCTGTGTATTCTCCTCATGGCCTCCAGTATTCTCAAGGTACATTGTTATGAATATATCGTTTGTCATCTAATGCTTAAATTATTGGTGTGTTTTTTAGCAATTCGTGACAGAATGAGTTGCAATCGCTATTTTGTGACATTATGAAACGATCGCGCCTGCTTTTCTAGGAACTTAAGACATACATGATATTTCCTTTGTCATGCTAGTTTGACCTACAATCATGGCGAATGAGCACACTTAGCGAAGGCGATCGATGATCATCAACGTTATATGACGTCACAATATCAATGATGTCACAAGTACCGGAGACCCAAACCCAAAGCATTCAATAAAAGTTTGAAACGGACATTTGTAACCTTGATGATTGTATGCAATTTGCGTTCAAAAATACATTTCAATCCTCATATTTACGTTAAAACAAACGAAGACAATACATACTGTTATCGTTGTTTATGTTCTTATTTGGTTCACAATATATATTTTAAACAAACTGTTTATAAAATGTCGGAACAGCCAATTCTGCAGGAACAAGATTGTGTTTTCTAAGAGAATGTTCTTTTGAACACTCAAACCGTTTGACATCAAATAGTTTCCGATTAGATAATACTCACCTTTAATGGTTCTTGCTTTTATTGGATTACAACACCATGTTTGGTTAGTGGTCTAAAGACTCTACAAAGTAAATGTGAATATTGTGTATTGCACGCAGTAATAATCTGGTATCCTCAAATAGACGATGTCGGAATGTAAAGATAACGCAGTTTATACTGAGGTTATATTTAGTATCAGAATGTAAAGGTGATGCAGTTGATACTGAGGTTATATTTAGTCTCAGAATGTAAAGGTGATGCAGTTTATTCTGAGGTTATATTTAGTCTCAGAATGTAAAGGTGATGCAGTTTGTACTGAGGTTATATTTAGTATATTTAGTAACAGAATGTAAGGATAATGCAGTTGATACTGAAGTTATATTTAGTATCAGAGTGGAAAGGTGATGCAGTTTATTCTGAGGTTATATTTAGTCTCAGAATGTAAAGGTGATGCAGTTTATTCTGAGGTTATATTTAGTCTCAGAATGTAAAGGTGATGCAGTTTATTCTGAGGTTATATTTAGTCTCAGAATGTAAAGGTGATGAAGTTTATACTGAGATTATATTTCGTATCAGAATGTTAAGGTGATGCAGTTGATACTGAGGTTATATTTAGTATCAGAATGTAAAGGTGATGCAGTTTATACTGAGATTATATTTAGTATCAGAATGTTAAGGTGATGCAGTTTATACTGAGGTTATATTTAGTAACAGAATGTAAAGATAATGCAGTTGATACTGAAGTTATATTTAGTATCAGAATGTAAAGGTGATGCAGTTTATACTTAGGTTATATTTAGTATCAGAATGTAAAGGTGATGCAGTTTATACTGAGGTTATATTTAGTATCAGAATGTAAAGGTGATGCAGTTTATACTGAGGTTATATTTAGTATCAGAATGTAAAGGTGATGCAGTTTATACTGAGGTTATATTTAGTATCAGAATGTAAAGGTGATGCAGTTTATACTGAGGTTATATTTAGTATCAGAATGTAAAGGTGATGCAGTTTATACTGAGGTTATATTTAGTATCAGAATGTAAAGGTGATGCAGTTTATACTGAGGTTATATTTAGTATCAGAATGTAAAGGTGATGCAGTTTATACTGAGGTTATATTTAGTATCAGAATGTAAAGGTGATGCAGTTTATACTGAGGTTATATTTAGTATCAGAATGTAAAGGTGATGCAGTTTATACTGAGGTTATATTTAGTATCAGAATGTAAAGGTGATGCAGTTTATACTGAGGTTATATTTAGTATCAGAATGTAAAGGTGATGCAGTTTATACTGAGGTTATATTTAGTATCAGAATGTAAAGGTGATGCAGTTTATACTGAGGTTATATTTAGTATCAGAATGTAAAGGTGATGCAGTTTATACTGAGGTTATATTTAGTATCAGAATGTAAAGGTGATGCAGTTTATACTGAGGTTATATTTAGTATCAGAATGTAAAGGTGATGCAGTTTATACTGAGGTTATATTTAGTATCAGAATGTAAAGGTGATGCAGTTTATACTGAGGTTATATTTAGTATCAGAATGTAAAGGTGATGCAGTTTATACTGAGGTTATATTTAGTATCAGAATGTAAAGGTGATGCAGTTTATACTGAGGTTATATTTAGTATCAGAATGTAAAGGTGATGCAGTTTATACTGAGGTTATATTTAGTATCAGAATGTAAAGGTGATGCAGTTTATACTGAGGTTATATTTAGTATCAGAATGTAAAGGTGATGCAGTTTATACTGAGGTTATATTTAGTATCAGAATGTAAAGGTGATGCAGTTTATACTGAGGTTATATTTAGTATCAGAATGTAAAGGTGATGCAGTTTATACTGAGGTTATATTTAGTATCAGAATGTAAAGGTGATGCAGTTTATACTGAGGTTATATTTAGTATCAGAATGTAAAGGTGATGCAGTTTATACTGAGGTTATATTTAGTATCAGAATGTAAAGGTGATGCAGTTTATACTGAGGTTATATTTAGTATCAGAATGTAAAGGTGATGCAGTTTATACTGAGGTTATATTTAGTATCAGAATGTAAAGGTGATGCAGTTTATACTGAGGTTATATTTAGTATCAGAATGTAAAGGTGATGCAGTTTATACTGAGGTTATATTTAGTATCAGAATGTAAAGGTGATGCAGTTTATACTGAGGTTATATTTAGTATCAGAATGTAAAGGTGATGCAGTTTATACTGAGGTTATATTTAGTATCAGAATGTAAAGGTGATGCAGTTTATACTGAGGTTATATTTAGTATCAGAATGTAAAGGTGATGCAGTTTATACTGAGGTTATATTTAGTATCAGAATGTAAAGGTGATGCAGTTTATACTGAGGTTATATTTAGTATCAGAATGTAAAGGTGATGCAGTTTATACTGAGGTTATATTTAGTATCAGAATGTAAAGGTGATGCAGTTTATACTGAGGTTATATTTAGTATCAGAATGTAAAGGTGATGCAGTTGATACTGAAGTTATATTAAGTATCAAAATGTACAGTTGATGCAGTTTATACTGAGGTTATATTTAGTATCAGAATGTAAAGATAATTCAGTTGATACTGAGGTTATATTTAGTATCAGAATGTAAAGGTGATGCAGTTTATACTGAGGTTATATTTAGTATCAGAATGTATAGGTGATGCAGTTTATACTGAGGTTATATTTAATATCAGAGTGTAAAGGTGATGCAGTTGATACTGAGGTTATATTTAGTATCAGAATGTAAAGGTGATGCAGTTTATACTGAAGTTATATTTAGTATCAGAGTGTAAAGGTAATGCAGTTGATACTGAGGTTATATTTAGTATCAGAGTGTAAATGTGATGCAGTTTATACTGAAGTTATATTTAGTATCAGAATGTAAAGGTGATGCAGTTGATACTGAGGTTATATTTAGTATCAGAGTGTAAAGGTGATGCAGTTTATACTGAAGTTATATTTAGTATCAAAATGTAAAGGTGATGCAGTTTATACTGAGGTTATATTCAGTATCAGAATCTAAAGGTGATGCAGTTGATACTGAGGTTATATTCAGTATCAGAATGTAAATGTGATGCAGTTCATACTGAGGTTATATTTAGTATCAGAATGTAAAGGTGATGCAGTTGATACTGAAGTTATATTTCCTATATTCTCCTCATTATGACCTTTAATTTAGAAAATTTAATAGAAAATAAACAAATTTCAAAATTGGTGCATTGATGAAAATAGTGCTGGCGAAGTCTGGCTATTTAATGATGAATCTTTTCTAACATATAAAATGAGTTTTCAGTGTCACTTGTCGTTATTTAATGTTTGTGTCTTGTGTGTAATTTGTGCACAGGATAAGAAGGCACTACGGGAGTCCGACAGCCCCACGAACACCATGCTCGTCATCGCTATCTGTTTCCCGTACGTCATATGGATGTTCAGCTTCTCGGCCAAGTCACTGTTCGGCAGTAACTCATGGCCCTCCTTCAAAACCGTTATTATCGTAAGTAACCTGGGATTATATTGTCGTCGTACACGTAAAACATATTTGATAATGCGTCTCCGACTTCACATAGGACTTTGTGTAATTGAAACTGTTACAGTACTAGCTATGTACGTGACAGCTAAAATAGATATACAACTTACTATATCAGTGTTATGATTCATAACTATAAACAAAAAATGAGTGATATTTTTATAACAACAAAAAAGAAAAATGCTTGTCCTGTATTGTAGCGTGTGCTTTCTATGTTGTAACCAGTCTGTTTTGTTTGTTTTGGTAGACGCTGTTTATGTTGTAACCAGTCTGTTTTGTTGGTTTTGGTAGACGTTATGTATGTTGTTACCAGTCTGTTTTTGTTTGTTTTGGTAGACGTTGTTTATGTTGTAACCAGTCTGTTTTGGTTGTTTTGGTAGACGTTGTTCATGTTGTAACCAGTCCGTTTGTTTGTTTTGGTAGACGTTGTTTATGTTGTAACCAGTCTGTTTTGTTTGTTTTGGTAGACGTTGTTCATGTTGTAACCAGTCCGTTTGTTTGTTTTGGTAGACGTTGTTAATGTTGTAACCAATCTGTTTTGTTTGTTTTGGTAGACGTTGTTTATGTTGTAACCAGTCTGTTTTGTTTGTTTTGGTAGACGTTGTTTATGTTGTAACCAGTCTGTTTTGTTTGTTTTGGTAGACGTTGTTTATGTTGTAACCAGTCTGTTTTGTTTGTTTTGGTAGACGTTGTTTATGTTGTAACCAGTCTGTTTTGTTTGTTTTGGTAGACGTTGTTTATGTTGTAACCAGTCTGTTTTGTTTGTTTTGGTAGACGTTGTTTATGTTGTAACCAGTCTGTTTTGTTTGTTTTGGTAGACGTTGTTTATGTTGTAACCAGTCTGTTTTGTTTGTTTTGGTAGACGTTGTTTATGTTGTAACCAGTCTGTTTTGTTTGTTTTGGTAGACGTTGTTTATGTTGTAACCAGTCTGTTTTGTTTGTTTTGGTAGACGTTGTTTATGTTGTAACCAGTCTGTTTTGTTTGTTTTGGTAGACGTTGTTTATGTTGTAACCAGTCTGTTTTGTTTGTTTTGGTAGACGTTGTTTATGTTGTAACCAGTCTGTTTTGTTTGTTTTGGTAGACGTTGTTTATGTTGTAACCAGTCTGTTTTGTTTGTTTTGGTAGACGTTGTTTATGTTGTAACCAGTCTGTTTTGTTTGTTTTGGTAGACGTTGTTTATGTTGTAACCAGTCTGTTTTGTTTGTTTTGGTAGACGTTGTTTATGTTGTAACCAGTCTGTTTTGTTTGTTTTGGTAGACGTTGTTTATGTTGTAACCAGTCTGTTTTGTTTGTTTTGGTAGACGTTGTTTATGTTGTAACCAGTCTGTTTTGTTTGTTTTGGTAGACGTTGTTTATGTTGTAACCAGTCTGTTTTGTTTGTTTTGGTAGACGTTGTTTATGTTGTAACCAGTCTGTTTTGTTTGTTTTGGTAGACGTTGTTTATGTTGTAACCAGTCTGTTTTGTTTGTTTTGGTAGACGTTGTTTATGTTGTAACCAGTCTGTTTTGTTTGTTTTGGTAGACGTTGTTTATGTTGTAACCAGTCTGTTTTGTTTGTTTTGGTAGACGTTGTTTATGTTGTAACCAGTCTGTTTTGTTTGTTTTGGTAGACGTTGTTTATGTTGTAACCAGTCTGTTTTGTTTGTTTTGGTAGACGTTGTTTATGTTGTAACCAGTCTGTTTTGTTTGTTTTGGTAGACGTTGTTTATGTTGTAACCAGTCTGTTTTGTTTGTTTTGGTAGACGTTGTTTATGTTGTAACCAGTCTGTTTTGTTTGTTTTGGTAGACGTTGTTTATGTTGTAACCAGTCTGTTTTGTTTGTTTTGGTAGACGTTGTTTATGTTGTAACCAGTCTGTTTTGTTTGTTTTGGTAGACGTTGTTTATGTTGTAACCAGTCTGTTTTGTTTGTTTTGGTAGACGTTGTTTATGTTGTAACCAGTCTGTTTTGTTTGTTTTGGTAGACGTTGTTTATGTTGTAACCAGTCTGTTTTGTTTGTTTTGGTAGACGTTGTTTATGTTGTAACCAGTCTGTTTTGTTTGTTTTGGTAGACGTTGTTTATGTTGTAACCAGTCTGTTTTGTTTGTTTTGGTAGACGTTGTTTATGTTGTAACCAGTCTGTTTTGTTTGTTTTGGTAGACGTTGTTTATGTTGTAACCAGTCTGTTTTGTTTGTTTTGGTAGACGTTGTTTATGTTGTAACCAGTCTGTTTTGTTTGTTTTGGTAGACGTTGTTTATGTTGTAACCAGTCTGTTTTGTTTGTTTTGGTAGACGTTGTTTATGTTGTAACCAGTCTGTTTTGTTTGTTTTGGTAGACGTTGTTTATGTTGTAACCAGTCTGTTTTGTTTGTTTTGGTAGACGTTGTTTATGTTGTAACCAGTCTGTTTTGTTTGTTTTGGTAGACGTTGTTTATGTTGTAACCAGTCTGTTTTGTTTGTTTTGGTAGACGTTGTTTATGTTGTAACCAGTCTGTTTTGTTTGTTTTGGTAGACGTTGTTTATGTTGTAACCAGTCTGTTTTGTTTGTTTTGGTAGACGTTGTTTATGTTGTAACCAGTCTGTTTTGTTTGTTTTGGTAGACGTTGTTTATGTTGTAACCAGTCTGTTTTGTTTGTTTTGGTAGACGTTGTTTATGTTGTAACCAGTCTGTTTTGTTTGTTTTGGTAGACGTTGTTTATGTTGTAACCAGTCTGTTTTGTTTGTTTTGGTAGACGTTGTTTATGTTGTAACCAGTCTGTTTTGTTTGTTTTGGTAGACGTTGTTTATGTTGTAACCAGTCTGTTTTGTTTGTTTTGGTAGACGTTGTTTATGTTGTAACCAGTCTGTTTTGTTTGTTTTGGTAGACGTTGTTTATGTTGTAACCAGTCTGTTTTGTTTGTTTTGGTAGACGTTGTTTATGTTGTAACCAGTCTGTTTTGTTTGTTTTGGTAGACGTTGTTTATGTTGTAACCAGTCTGTTTTGTTTGTTTTGGTAGACGTTGTTTATGTTGTAACCAGTCTGTTTTGTTTGTTTTGGTAGACGTTGTTTATGTTGTAACCAGTCTGTTTTGTTTGTTTTGGTAGACGTTGTTTATGTTGTAACCAGTCTGTTTTGTTTGTTTTGGTAGACGTTGTTTATGTTGTAACCAGTCTGTTTTGTTTGTTTTGGTAGACGTTGTTTATGTTGTAACCAGTCTGTTTTGTTTGTTTTGGTAGACGTTGTTTATGTTGTAACCAGTCTGTTTTGTTTGTTTTGGTAGACGTTGTTTATGTTGTAACCAGTCTGTTTTGTTTGTTTTGGTAGACGTTGTTTATGTTGTAACCAGTCTGTTTTGTTTGTTTTGGTAGACGTTGTTTATGTTGTAACCAGTCTGTTTTGTTTGTTTTGGTAGACGTTGTTTATGTTGTAACCAGTCTGTTTTGTTTGTTTTGGTAGACGTTGTTTATGTTGTAACCAGTCTGTTTTGTTTGTTTTGGTAGACGTTGTTTATGTTGTAACCAGTCTGTTTTGTTTGTTTTGGTAGACGTTGTTTATGTTGTAACCAGTCTGTTTTGTTTGTTTTGGTAGACGTTGTTTATGTTGTAACCAGTCTGTTTTGTTTGTTTTGGTAGACGTTGTTTATGTTGTAACCAGTCTGTTTTGTTTGTTTTGGTAGACGTTGTTTATGTTGTAACCAGTCTGTTTTGTTTGTTTTGGTAGACGTTGTTTATGTTGTAACCAGTCTGTTTTGTTTGTTTTGGTAGACGTTGTTTATGTTGTAACCAGTCTGTTTTGTTTGTTTTGGTAGACGTTGTTTATGTTGTAACCAGTCTGTTTTGTTTGTTTTGGTAGACGTTGTTTATGTTGTAACCAGTCTGTTTTGTTTGTTTTGGTAGACGTTGTTTATGTTGTAACCAGTCTGTTTTGTTTGTTTTGGTAGACGTTGTTTATGTTGTAACCAGTCTGTTTTGTTTGTTTTGGTAGACGTTGTTTATGTTGTAACCAGTCTGTTTTGTTTGTTTTGGTAGACGTTGTTTATGTTGTAACCAGTCTGTTTTGTTTGTTTTGGTAGACGTTGTTTATGTTGTAACCAGTCTGTTTTGTTTGTTTTGGTAGACGTTGTTTATGTTGTAACCAGTCTGTTTTGTTTGTTTTGGTAGACGTTGTTTATGTTGTAACCAGTCTGTTTTGTTTGTTTTGGTAGACGTTGTTTATGTTGTAACCAGTCTGTTTTGTTTGTTTTGGTAGACGTTGTTTATGTTGTAACCAGTCCGTTTATTTGTTTTGGTAGACGCTGATTATGTTGTAACCTGTCTGATTTGTTTGTTTTGGTAGACGTTCTTTATGTTGTAACCTGTCTGTTTTGTTTGTTTTGGTAGACGTTGTTTATGTTGTAATCTGTCTGTTTTGTTTGTTTTGGTAGACGTTATGTATGTTGTAACCAGTCTGTTTTGTTTGTTTTGGTAGACGTTGTGTATGTTGTAACCAGTCTGTTTTGTTTGTTTTGGTAGACGTTGTTTATGTTGTAACCAGTCTGTTTTGTTTGTTTTGGTAGACGTTGTGTATGATGTAACCTGTCTGTTTTGTTGGTTTTGGTAGACGTTGTGTATGATGTAACCTGTCTGTTTTGTTTGTTTTGGTAGACGCTGTTTATGTTGTAACCTGTCTGTTTTGTTTGTTTTGGTAGACGTTGTGTATGATGTAACCTGTCTGTTTTGTTTGTTTTGGTAGACATTGTGTATGATGTTACCTGTCTGTTTTGTTGGTTTTGGTAGACGCTGTTTATGTTGTAACCTGACTGTTTTGTTTGTTTTGGTAGACGCTGTTTATGGAGCTGCTTCATTCGTTCGGGCTGTGTCTCATGGTATTCCATATCCTCCCCAGAACAGACATGGCTCGAGGGTTACTTCATTTTTGTGGAATTTGTACTGTTCCTGCATTCTTAAAAACGATTACCATAGCAACCGACAAATCAAGACCCACTATGAAGCGTTTTACCTTGACCTTTGTCAACGGTCTCGCTTTCGTTATACAGTTGTGTAATCTCGCAGCCTCTACAATGTTTAGCAACCCTTTAAATGAGACAGAAAGAAACCAACTTCAAAGGGAGGTCATTTATGAACCAGATATATTACATACGATAGAGAGACCTGTGCCTAACTTTGAAAATCGCTATGTGTGGGAAATACCTGTTGCTTTAATTTTCATTTCTATTACGTACTGGGAAAATTTTGTGGAAAGTGATTTATCAATCTGCTCGTTCAATATACCATTCCTTCAATGGAAGCGACGACTTATTTCTGTCCGGGAGAGGCTATACATTTTTGTGGGAATCTGGAAGACTGGTTGGACATTACTGTTTGCAGCTCTTTTACTTCCTGGCTTTTCATTCAACATAGAATTTTCTACATCCGGATCAAATCTTCATGGCAGTGATATAAGACCCACAACGACTGCGGCGCAAATCGCTCTTGGTCTAAAGGTCTCTTCTGGACCACCAACTGCATCGCCACTTCCGGTAGGAGGTCGGCAAAACACAATCGTGAAACGGGCAATATCCGATCAGATTGATTTAAACGGTGTAAGTGCTGTTCTTAACTTGACGGATGCAAATATGAAAGGTCGGACTCCGAAATTCCGGCCTCGGCCTCGTCCTGTAACATCTACTTCTCCATCTACTGCAAAACCTACTCCACGTACAAACGGAAGTAGTGTCCCCACTTACAATCTACTACTTCCGGAATCTGTAAAGAGGAATTTCCAGCGTTACGGTCCACTATACCTTCAGCTCCTGTGTAGTGCTGTGTTGTCCTACTTTGGCAGTCTGGCGTGTAAATTATGTATGCAGGTTATAGGTTTTACGATACCGTTGTTTATGGCCACGCCCATAACGCTCGGAATCATTATCGTTCAATGTTACACACACTTTATCCCTTCCCACCTGTATATATGGCTGTGTCCGGAAACGTCGGGAGAAATCCGGATGTTCCACCTCCTGTGGTTTGGTGTTCTCTGGGTGTCACACATTATTCTGACGTCACACATCTGGTTCCCACGGAATGGCAGAATGGCAAAGATAGACAGGTTAACTGCTACGGTTGAATTTATATATAGACTTAAGGACATATATTGCCGCACTGTGCTTTGTCTTGCCTTCCCAAAAAAGCTTTACACTGAGAAATTTTTTAACTTTCTTAAATGATAATTCGAACTCGGTTTATACTTTTTTAAAATACTGTTAACAAGAGTAAATACATTTATGACAATATTATGCAAAATAAATACCGGATAATTTATAATTTTATCATGTTGTTGAAGTCCATTCTTGGTTTTATCGAACCAACCGCGAAAAGAAAATCGGTCGTGGACGTTATTGGTTAATGCGGTTAATTACGGTCGTGGACGTTATTGGTTAATGCGGTTAATTACGGTCGTGGACGTTATTGGTTAATGCGGTTAATCCTGATGTACATAAATCAACATGCTACAGTTTCTTCATAAAAATAAATACTAGAAAACAATTTAATGATATTTCTTCAATTTTACCAAGAACGAAAACAAGCCGAAAGTCAAAGTTTACAATACATTTTATCACCCAAACGTTTTATTGATATTATTTTGTACGAAAATGTTCAAGTTATTTTTTATAATCGAATTACATAATTATTATACTGTTATCACCGTATTGAGTTTTGAGTTTGGAATTGTTGTTTTACGTAGAATAATCTTCTGTTATATGATATCTATAATATTAGTTGTTTCTAATGATAATTTGGTACATATATATTGCTATATATAGAAAATGTTGGGAAACAAAACAAACTCCAAAAACTAAATACAATTTGTTTTTCTTGTAAGTTTCTAGGTTTCTTATTATATAATTATTATTGTGGAAGATATTGGAGGATCAGATTTAAGTTTATATATTTATTAACTCACTAAGTTCAGCTTGATACAGCATGATATTGATATGAAATGTTTCAAGTTGATGTAATCCTATTTTCATTACCGCAAAAAGTGTGTTGTTCTTTATCTCATGATAACCCTAAACTCCTTGAAACCAGTAGATGTATTTTTATTTGCGTCATGATAAACCGGCATCCGATACAACCAATATATGTGTTGCTCTTCTAACCCTACGCTCTTTACAACCCATGTGTATGTCATTTTCTTTGTACCATGGTAACCCACCAACCCTAACAATCTTATGCGTTGTCCTTTGTTCCATGTTAACCCTACTTACCTTACTACCAGTAACCAAGTGCTTTCCTTTGTGTCATTGTAACTATGTTTCCCTTACAACCAGTAGATGTGTTTTCCTTTGTCTCACCGTAACTTTGTTTCCTTTACAACCAGTAGATGTGTTTTCCTTTATCTCACCGTAACTTTGTTTCCTGTACAACCAGTAGAAGTGTTTTCCTTTTTCTCACTGTTAATGTGTTTCTGTTACAACCAGTAGATGTGTTTTCCTTTATCTCACCATAACTTTGTTTCCTTTACAACCATTAGATGTGTTTTCCTTTATCTCACCGTAACTTTGTTTCCTTTACAACCAGTAGAAGTGTTTTCCTTTTTCTCACTGTTAATGTGTTTCTGTTACAACCAGTAGATGTGTTTTCCTTTATCTCACCCTAACTTTGTTTCCTTTACAACCAGTAGATGTGTTTTCCTTTTTCTCACTGTAACTGTGTTTCCCTTACAACCAGTAGATGTGTTTTCCTTTTTATCACTGTACCTGTGTTTCCCTTACAACCATTAGATGTGTTTTCCTTTTTCTCACTGTACCTGTGTTTCCCTTACAACCAGTAGATGTGTTTTCCTTTTTCTCACTGTAACTGTGTTTCCCTTACAACCAGTAGATGTGTTTTCCTTTGTATCAACGTACCTGTGTTTCCCTTACAACCAGTAGATGTGTTTTCCTTTGTCTCTCAGTACCTGTGTTTCCCTTACAACCAGTAGATGTGTTTTCCTTTGTCGCACTGTAACTGTGTTTCCCTTACAACCAGTAGATGTGTTTTCCTTTGTCTCACTGTAACTGTGTTTCCCTTAAAACCAGTAGATGTGTTTTCCTTTATCTCACCGTAACTATGTTTCCTTTACAACCAGTAGATGTGTTTTCCTTTTTCTCACTGTAACTGTGTTTCCCTTACAACCAGTAGATGTGTTCACCTTTTTTTCACTGTACCTATGTTTCCCTTACAACCAGTAGATGTGTTTTCCTTTTTCTCACTGTACCTGTGTTTCCCTTACAACCAGTAGATGTGTTTTCCTTTGTCTCACTGTAACTGTGTTTCCCTTCAACCAGTATATGTGTTTTCCTTTGTCTCACTGTAACTGTGTTTCCCTTACAACCATTAGATGTGTTTTCCTTTGTCTCACAGTAACTGTGTTTCCCTTACAACCAGTAGATGTGGTGTTTTTTGTCTCACAGTACCTGTGTTTCCCTTACAACCAGTAGATGTGGGGTTTTTTGTCTCACAGTACCTGTGTTTCCGTTACAACCAGTAGATGTGTTTTCCTTTGTCTCACTGTAACTGTGTTTCCCTTACAACCAGTAGATGTGGGGTTTTTTGTCTCACAGTACCTGTGTTTCCCTTACAACCAGTAGATGTGTTTTCCTTTGTCTCACTGTAACTGTGTTTCCTTTACAACCATTAGATGTGTTTTCCTTTGTCTCACAGTACCTGTGTTTCCCTTACAACCAGTAGATGTGTTTTCCTTTATCTCACCGTAACTTTGTTTCCTTTACAATAAGTAGAAGTGTTTTCCTTTTTCTCACTGTTACTGTGTTTCTCTTACAACCAGTAGATGTGTTTTCCTTTATCTCACCATAACTTTGTTTCCTTTATAACCAGTAGATGTGTTTTCCTTTGTCTCACTGTAACTGTGTTTCCCTTACAACCAGTAGATGTGTTTTCTTTTGTCTCACTGTAACTGTGTTTCCCTTACAACCAGTAGATGTGTTTTCCTTTGTCTCACTGTACCTGTGTTTCCCTTACAACCAGTACATGTGTTTTCCTTTTTCTCACTGTACCTGTGTTTCCCTTACAACCAGTAGATGGGTTTTTCTTTGTCTCACAGTAACTGTGTTTCCCTTAAAACCAGTAGATGGGTTTTCCTTTTTCTCACTGTACCTGTGTTTCACTTAGAACAAGTAGATGTGTTTTCCTTTGTATCACTGTAACTGTGTTTTCCTTACAACCAGTAGATGTGTTTTCCTTTGTCTCACAGTAACTGTGTTTCACTTAAAACAAGTAGATGTGTTTTCCTTTTTCTCACTGTACCTGTGTTTCACTTAAAACAAGTAGATGTGTTTTCCTTTGTCTCACTGTAACTGTGTTTCCCTTAAAACCAGTAGATGTGTTTTCCTTTTTCTCACTGTACCTATGTTTCCCTTTCAACCAGTAGATGTGTTTTTCTTTGTCTCACTGTAACTGTGTTTCCCCTACATCCAGTAGATGTGTTTTCCTTTTTCTCACTCTACACATGTTTCCCTTACATCCAGTAGACGTGTTTTCCTTTGTCTCATTGTAACTATGCTTCCCTTAAAACCAGGGAAGGTGTTTTCCTTTGTCTCACCATAACTATGTTTCCTTCATAACCAGTTGATGTGTTTTCCTTTGTCTCATTGTAACTGTGTTTCCCTAACAACCAGTAGATGTGTTTTCCTTTGTCTCACTCTACTTGCGTTTCTCTTTCAACCGGTAGATGTATTTTCCTTTTTCTCACTGTACCTGTGTTTCTCTTACAACGAATAGATGTGTTTTCCTTTGTCTCCCTCTACTTGCGTTTCTCTTTCAACCGGTAGAGGTATTTTCCTTTTTCTCACGGTACCTGCGTTTCCCTTACAACCATTAGATGTGTTTTCCGTTTCCTCACTGTAACGGTGTCTCCCTTACAACCAGTGTATGGGTTTTCCTTGGTCTCACTGGAACTGTATTTCCCTTAAAACCACTAGATGTATTTTCCTTTTTCTCCCTGTACCTGTGTTTCCCTTAAAACCAGTAGATGTGTTTTCCTTTTTCTCACTGTAACTATGTTTCCCTTACATTCAGTAGATGTGTTTTCCTTTGTCTCACTGTAACTGTATTTCCCTTAAAACCAGTAGATGTATTTTCCTTTGTCTCACTGTAACTGTGTTTCCCTTAAAACCAGTAGATGTATTTTCCTTTGTCTCACGTAACTGTGTTTCCCTTAAAACCAGTAGATGTGTTTTCCTTTGTCTTACTGTAACTGTGTTTCCCTTTAAACAAGTAGATGTGTTTTCGGTTTTCTCACCGTACCTGTGTTTCCTTTACAACCAGTAGATATGTTTTCCTTTGTCTCATTGTAACTGTGTTTCCCTTACAACCAGTAGATGTGTTTTTCCTTTTTCTCACTGTAACTGCGTTTCCCTTACAACCAGTAGATGATTTTCCTTTGTCTTACTCTACCTGCGTTTTCCTTTCAACCAGTAGATGTGTTTTCCTTTTTTTCACTCTACCTGCGTTTCCCTTACAACCAGTAGATGTGTTTTCCTTTTTCTCACTGTAACTGTGTTTCCCTTACAACCAGTAGAAATGTTTTCCTTTATGTCATCGTAACTGTGTTTCCCTTATAACCAGTAGATGTGTTTTCCTTTTTCTCACTGTAACTGTGTTTCCCTTAAAACCAGTAGATGTGTTTTCCTTTGTCTCACTGTAACTGTGTTTCCCTTACAACCAGTAGAAATGTTTTCTTTTATTTCATTGTAACTGTGTTTTCCTTACAACCAGTAGATGTGTTTTCCTTTTTCTCACTCTACCTGCCTTTTCGTTCCAACCAGAAGATGGGTTTTTCTTTTTCTCACTCTACAAATGTTTCCCTTACATCCAGTAGATGTGTTTTCCTTTGTCTCGCTGTAACTGTGTTTCCCTTACAACCAGTAGAAATGTTTTCCTTTATGTCATTGTAACTGTGTTTCCTTTACAACCAGCAGACGTGTTTTCCTTTGTCTCACTGTAACTATGCTTCCCTTACAAACAGAGAAGGTGTTTTCCTTTGTCTCACCTTAACTATGTTTCCTTCATAACCAGTAGATGTGTTTTCCTTTGTCTCATTGTAAC